GGGGGGGGCGGTGCCGCTACCACTCTGGAGATGAAGTGTCCACAAGGCCAGTGCAGACCTCAGGACTGAGACCATCAGACTGGGGAGGGGGGCGATTCTCTGCTTGCGGGTCCTGTCTGCTGACCCCAGGATATGCTTACTGTCTGTGGGAGCTTCCGTTTTTTCCAAGAGCATCTCAGAGCATCCCTGAGTCAGGGTTAGGCATTCTCTGCCTGCTGGAGAAGACACATCCCCATCGTAGGTGGGTGTGGTTCACATCAGGAACTGTAGGGTGGGTCGCCTTCTCTCATCCCCTGGACCATGTGTAAAAGCTCCAGCGCATGCCCAGGGTAGGACAGGTACCAGAGGGAGGTACCCAACCGGGAGGGGGAAATGAACCCTTCCTCTACTCCCAACTGAATCCTCCCTGGGTCTTGCATATTCCAGCTGTGCACCTGTAAAACGTTGAGAACTCAGCTTCCCTGCAATTCTGGGCCACCATAAGGGATCACAAGGACGTGAAAAGAGTGCTGGGTTCAAATCTCAGCGTTAGCAATACGACGGCTAGCTATCAGCAGTGGGTGCTCCCAAGCTGGACAGGCAAGAGCAGCCTTCCCCCATGTCCACCGAAAAAGCGGTGCCATCCCTGGCAGGCACTCAGGAGTGTCAGTGCAGACTCTCCTGTTCCTGGCAGAGGAGCCGGGCCTCCCTCACTCCCACTCCCCCCGCCACCCACCCAGCGCGCCGCGCCCCTCCTCGATTCCCTGAGCGCGCGCGCCCCCTGCCGGCGGCCCGACGCGGCGCAGCTCGGGGCCGCATATAAAGGCAGCGTGGCGCGCAGCCCCAGCGCGAGTGCCACTGCCGAGCGGCACCGAGTGACAGTGTCGTGCTGCCTGAGGTCTCCGGAGCGGCTCGCCATGGCTGGCCCGCAGCAGCAGCCCCCTTACCTGCACCTGGCCGAGCTGACGGCGTCCCAGTTTCTGGAAATCTGGAAGCACTTTGATGCAGACGGTCAGTAAAGCTGCCAACTTCTGGGCCCTGCTGACCCCGCTCCCTGGGGTACCTGAGGTTGGAAAGGGGGTGGGATGGAGGGGAGGGTCAGGGGCACGGCTCCATGCAGGCAGGTGTGCGTCTGCCCCCAAGGAAGGCGTTCTGGAGACAGAGCCTGCTAAGGTGTTGAGTTTGGGTAACGTCCGGCTGCCCTGATGACAACTGTCAGTAACTTTTCCCTGATGCAGGATGCTCAGAGCCCACCGACTTTTGCATTCTCCTCTGAACAAGTCGGAGCTTTCCCAGAAAGGAGGCCTGGGCAAGAAAAGGCTCCCCAAGATTCACCCTGACACCTTCCCCATCTTCCCCTTCAAGCTAACTTCCTGCGTCCAACCCTGAAGCCACAGGTCTCCGAAGCCCACCCCTCTCTCTCTGGCTCCTGTGTTTTGATTACCGCCCCAGCCTCATTCACAGTCCAGGAGCTGGGGCAAGCTGGGCATCCTAAAGGGAAATCGGGGGTGGGGTCCTTGTCCAGGAACAGGAGTGGAGAATAGATTGGGGGCTTTTAACACCCCCCCACATACAGCTTACCCTGTTTATCTTGCAAAAGGATGGGCATGTGGGTTTGTTTCTCAGCCACAGCAGTGGGTGTGGTGGGGCAGTCCCGGTGCCAGCCCCAGCCTCCTGGTGATTCTCCTGAGTGCTTTGGGTGAACTGACTGTGGATGGGGGAGGCAATCTTAAACACCTCAGTGACCAACACTTTGCTCTATGTCATCTTCACAATGTCCAACCCCTAAATGAAGGCCAGGTGAATAGCCTTTAGAGGTGGTGCCCAGACTGGTGTCTACGAATGGTCTGACTCAGGCATTCGAAGAGTAAACTCCATCACCCCTCTCCCAGGCTTCTGATATTGTCAGTCTCTTTCTCCATCATTAAAAAAAAAAAATTGTGCCATCTGAGTTCACTCTCTAGGGTCCTGGCTAAGGTAGGCATCCACAACACACTGACATCTCAGACCCATTGGCAGAGTGGTGTTTATTCTGGGATTAAGAGTTGGAGAGTTGGGGGCGGGGATTGGGTGGCAGCTTCCTGAATCTTGTGCTTCCTCCTTGAATCACCTCAGTAGCTTGTGAAGGTGGTTACACAGAGATCCTCTGCCCTCAGTGCTGTGGTAAGGAAAGGGTTAATGTCTGGGTCCTGTTAATGGGTGAATTGGAAGAAACTGAGGAAGCTGGAGGGGCAAAGGGCTGGGCATCCGGATACCTGAGATAGGACCATGATCTGCCTGTGAATTACTGAAAGAGGTGGATCAGTTGCTTGATCTGAAAAAAAAAGGGGGGGGCTAAGGAGAGGCTGTTTCCCATTCCCGGCTCATGCCATCCAACTCCCTAGGTGGAAAGGGTTCTAACGGGATTGCAGCCTCTTAGCAATGCATTGCACACAACATGCTGTAGCTGGTCTCTCTGTACCAGAGACTTGCATGATTCAAGGAAAGTTACCAAGTGGCCAAGGTTATACCTCTGGCCTCCTGCTAGATGAGTCAGCTATTAACAGAAGACTCCAAGTCTACTTTTCTCTGGGGACGATGGGTAGCCCTCTCAATCATCATGAAAACCTTATGCTTAAGTCTGTTCAGAGACACTGTACTTTTTCAAAACAGTTGCACCTTCTTGAGTCCCACTCTGGGAGGCTTCTGGGCAGAGTCCCTTGTGCAGATAAGGCATCTGACATGGGACTTGGGACTTGGTTAAATGCTGGTCTCCAGCTGGGGTTTATATCCCCATTCAACTGGGTGGGAAGAAGGGATTTTGTACCAACCGGAAGAGGAGACCCAGCCCAGGCTCAGAGGTGGTGAGTAGTTCCTTTTATCACAGAAAACAGACCTTGGCTTGACTGGACCATAACTAAGCTATACTGAGATACAAGAATCTTTAAGGACACTGTGCCTTGGGCTCCCTTCCCACTCCTCAAGGTAGTACCAGGGTGGAACAAGAAATGTAACGAAGGTGAACTAGAAATTGCATATACTGTGAAATTGGAACTTCACTGATGGATCCAGAAGTAGGTTTGGGAGCACCTTTCTCTGTACCTTTGCTGTTGACCTTCTCGTTAGCTGGGTCTCCCCTCCTGAAGAACCCAAGCCCAATACCTGAGATGTCGTGCCCCTGTCTGGGTCTTTGTCTTACCATCTGTGGTTTCTGTTTGCAACTCAGGGATCCATCCCATTTTAAGACTTTTGCTGCTCACCACCTTAAGGACCTCTGGGAGAACTCTCCTTCCCAGCTCACCAGGTCCCTGGAGTGAGCTCACTGGAGCCCAGTTAATCACAGGCACCAGGGAGAGGGAGCTACCTCCCTATCCTCCCAGACTCTTGTAGTAAACAAAAGAGACTTTTGAAAAGAGCTTGATCCCAGAAAGAGTGGGCCTGGGGACTGGGAATGATGACCCTTACTTGACCCATTTCAACACAGAAATGAAGAGGCACCATCCTAGCTCCTTCACCCCTGACTCCCCTCCCACCCCCAAAAAAGATTGTTTTCAAAAGGATCACTAGCCTAGCAGTGGAAACAGGGAAGAGCAGGTATTTGGAAAGTCAAGAGTCAGGACCAGAGAGGCAAACTTCTCTGCGTAAGATCACACAGCAAGGCAAAAAAGGATCAGGGATCTCATCTCCTCATCTCATATATAACCTCAACTCTTCCTTGATAGTCACCAAGGTTAGGCACTGGGAAGGTTCAGTATGTCTAAGGCAGCATCAAGCATCGGTGAGATGGTAGCCCAGCCACCCTACACTTTAGTGAGGCCTGGGGTTCAAACACATATCACCTCCATGCTCTGAGTGACACAATGTCTGAAGCCATTGCTTTGTCCCTTTGTCAGAGAACTCTTTTACTCTACAAGATCCAGATGTCCAACAGGCCTGGTAACGCAGGCCTATATCCAGCTACCTGGGAGACTGGGGCAAGAGGATTGCAAGTTCAAAGCCTGCTTGGGTTGCAGACTGAGTTTCAGGTTAGCATGGGCCTGTCTTGAATAAAAAAAAGTAAAAAGAGACAGGGAATACAGATCAGAGGGGTAATGCTTATCTAGCATGCACTGGGCTCTGGGTTTAATCATCAGCAATAGAGAGAGAGGAGAGAGAGAGAGAGAGAGAGAGAGAGAGAGAGAGAGAGAGAGAGAGAGAGAAAGTGAGAGAGAGAAGAATGGAGACACAAACACACACACACATGCAAACATGCAGAGAGAGAGAGAGAGAGAGAGAGAGAGAGAGAGAGATCCAGGTGGTGAGGGACACTGAAGTCAGAGTTCACATGCCCTCTGTATGGTTCTGACAGATAACAGCAAGTTTCTATCCCACTGAAATCCTGTGAGAAGCCAAGTTGTAGGTCAGATAAGAAATAGAGCTATTCTTTCCCCTCTTCTGAATGTACTAAGAATACAGAGGAGAAAGCAAATACTCTGCCAGGAGCAAGCAGACATCCATGGGACCAACCTCACCCACTCCTTCCAAGCCTCTATCCTATACATGCAAAAATTATACAAAAAATAAAGCCTATTAAAGGAGTTCTTTGAAACTAAACCAAAAAAAAAAAAAAAAAGGAATTACAGTCATCCGAGTATAGGATATTACACAGTCAGTCAAAGGGAGGTCAAGTTTCTGTGCAGGCATGGGGAAATGCCCCAAAATGTGTAATTTTATTTTTTTAATGTAATTTAATTTTATCTTATTTTATTATTTTTATTTTATGTGTATGCGTGTATTGCTTGCATGTAGGTAAGTGCACCTGTGTTGTGCAATGCCCACAGAGGACAGAAGAAAGAAGCTGTTGGATCCTCTGGAACTTGAGTTACGGACAGTTGTTAGCTGCCATGTGGGTGCTGGGATTCGAACCTGGGTCTTCTGCAAGAACTGTATCCTTAACCACTGAGCCATCTCTCCAGCTCCAAAATGTGTTATTTTTTAAGATTATAGCAAAACACTAAGATAAGCTGATTTTATTATGAGTAATAGCTGTCCACTGGAGACTATTTGGGTAAATTTATCAAACAATAGTGGTTCTCTCTAGAGTAGATGAAATAAAATTAAAAGGAATTGTTTTTCTAAGTTAACTTCTGTAGTGTTTGAAGAATTTTTCGAAGTGTGTTTTGTGTGTAGACTGCAAAACAACAACAACAAACCCCAAGAAGGAAATGATTTTATGGACAGCTTCCTCTTTTCCCAGAGGACAGACACCTAGGTCCAGGTATGGGAACCCACCCAGAGTTTTCTGGGCTTTGTCCACTTAAAATGACCTCAGTGGGCCAGGTTTTCAAAGCCTTTCACTAGGACTGAGCTTGTGCCTTATCTGTCCCCTGCACTGAGGACTTTGAAAGCTAATAACAAAAAGGACCATCAGGGATGAGGGCTCTTCCTAGGATCTTCTTTTCCTCTTAAACCTAGTAGTTCCAACAGAAATGTCTCACAAACCCACACACCACTGAGAAGCCAGAACTAGGTGCCCAAGCGGGCCCTCCCAGGACACTGGGCACTGTTCTTTGTCTTCTGTTGTGTGTGTGTGTGTGTGTGTGTGTGTGTGTGTGTGTGTCCATTAAAGTCAGTGAGATCTAGGGCTGAGGACTAAGGCGTTGTTTGTCTGAGGACAGCATTCTTCTAACCCTATCGTGAAGCCCTGTATACATCTTGGTAGGGCTTGAAGTCAGCATTAGAGCTTTTTAGGAGAGCCTCCTGCCTCACCTGGTGCAGCTCCTTGAAATGGTTCCCTGGTCCCCTTTACCTTCACCCTAACTGTTTCATTGAAAATGCCCTTTGGTTTGGAGTGTGTATGGTGCACCAGCTCTGTCCTAGGTGTTCTCTGGGTGGCCATCACCCTGCTTGTTTTGGACTATGATTGTACCAACCAGGGGTGGGGGAGCTGGGTCTGTGAAGAGCTAGGGCTCTCCAGGGAAGCAGCCAAGGAGCAGAGCTGAGGTGAGATGATATGTTCACAAACAAGATACTTCAGCTGGCCCTGCCCAGGC